GGTACTCAGTGGTTCACAGCTAGCGGCTTTGGACACACTGTCAAATCCATCCGAAGGGCATGCTGCATCTGCAAAGGCTCGTAAGCTGGATCCATGCAACACCCGGCCACTCACTGTCTTCTGCAGTAACAGTAACATCTGCAGACCCGAAAATTCTCAGGATCGTCATTTTCAGGAACATAATTTAAACGACAGTGCTACAGAGATGAGAAACCAGTCGTGGACTAAGATGCAGAGCGCAGGCTCCAGCACAAGAAGCCTGCAATAAGAAGAGCCAAACTCTTCCGTACAATTCCATCGTGTTGATTTTTAAAAATGTCTGGCTCAGGCAGGAAATGATTAGCCAAGTAAGGGAGTAAGCTCACAGTGAAGCCATATGTCGGTGACGTGGATCGTCTCAGGTTTTGCAAACCTGAAGAAGTTAGCATCACTTTTGGCTAATCCAACCGCCTGACCATACGTGTCGACATTCCATGACATCCCTCTGCACTTGGCACCTTGGCAGGATGCCCGGCGAAGAAAGCAACTGAACTACCGTTTCATCCCCACTTTGTTGTAACTTGTTCTACTCTGCCAATCCAGGTCCCCTCCCAAAAGACCATACTTATTATGGCTTTAGGGACCTATATATTCCATAATGGTCGTCTATAAGCCCGGAGCTCCCGACTCAGAGAGGTGGTGCGGAAGGATGGAGAGTCACATGCCGCAGTGCTTGTTCTGCATTGACCTTCCCCGGGCTTTCGGGAAAATGTCGGGTGTTCGATGCATGGGTTTATTCGCCTCTTGACCAGGTCTTATTTCGAGGCATCCAAGGTTGTGTGACGCTGCATCCTGGCTTGCGGATAACTAGCGGATGCATGGGTGATGGATAATTCTCCCGATTCAAGGTCGGCAGGACAGATGTGATCATCTGCTGCGCAGTTGCACAGGGTCACGAGACACGAAGGCTGAGGGCTTACTTTTTTTTTTACGGTTTAGGGTTTAGGGTTTAGGGTTGCGCTATAGGGCGTTATTCCCTGAAGGCCCAGGCCCCAACCCGCGAACCCCACGGCCAAAGCCCTGACTTCTTCAGCCTCAAAGCACACTCGGCCGTAAGGCTTTAGAAACCCTTACTTTACATGGGTCCGTTTACACCCAGGACCTTAGATCTCACAATTCGGGCAGCCCATCAGATCTTCGAGGCAACTTGGTACATCCCGAGGCCCTGAACCAAACACAAAAAAACCGAAAACTCCGAAACCCGATATAAATCTTGCAAATCCTGGCTAAGTGAACCCTCAACCCTATCAACCCTAAGCCAGTCAGCCACATGAAAGGCGACAGGAACTGAGACCAGCACTGGGTGCACGGCGGCAGGACCCGAGGACCCCGAGCGGCTGGGCCTCCTTGGACGTCACGGGGTTGTCTCAGAAAAAAGCTGAAACAAGGTGTGGCATTTGCTTTTAAGGTTTAGGGTTTCAGAAAAGGATGGAACAAGGCTTTCGTTGCATTTTGAGTGCTTGTCTCCTTCGCCTACAAGGCCTCTTGACTCCGGATCTCGCTTTGCGGGAGGCCCCCTGGTTGCAGGAACCAGCGTCAAAACAAACAAACCTTTGGGTGCTGTGTAAACATCAGCAGTGTGGGGCTTCGGCACTCACACTCTCGGACAAGCCAGGCGAGGTTATTGGTGCGTAGTCGATTGAGGTGAAACACATCCAAGACCCTGCGGCATACCTCAGACAGAACTGACTGAGCAGTTCGAACATCTGTGGATTGAGTTGTTGCGATGAAGCCCCATTGCAGGTGCAAGGTCACTATAGAACCCTACACCCTAAACCCAGATATTCGGGTAGTAGCCAAACGCGGGTCGCCCAGGAATCCCGAGGCTCCAGTGAAACATGACTTTTTATGCACAGAGTCTGGGGTTTAGGGCAGAGGTAATGACCCCGAAAGTAGCGACTTTGATAAGGGTCGGGAGGGTCCGGCTAGATAGAGCCCATCCGTGACTGCAATCCCTATCTTGAATATAGAACAACTGGACAAAGACAAACTAGCTCGCCATAATCAGTTAGATACAACCGAACAGCAAATACACTTGTAATGGCCCTTATATAAAACTTAGACAGGTCTACTACTTGCCTTTCACTTCAGTGCCCTTACTCAGGTATCTTCCTTGCTCACGGAACGGCCAACGTAGTCTTGCCAGCACATAGTCTTGGAACAAGCCAGCTGCCTCCATCAGATGAAAGCCAGTCCCCACACAAAGCAAAGCACCTCGTATTCCTGGCAGAATAGTGACTTCGTCAATACAAACCAAACATCTTACAGAGTAGTGACCTCATCAATGCAAACCACTGTTCTCGAATCTCACCCCCCAACCGGTTCTTGCAGGATGCATGCTCGTCACCTCCCACCAGCTGGCATGTCATGTTGTCACCAGATCTCCATCTGCAAAAAATTCCAATGCCCATAAACACACGCAGATGCACAGGCACATTGCAGTAAACACCCAATCATAAATTCAGAGCACCGTGCCGTGAATTCAGCTGTCATGGGAGGCTCCACACATCCCATTCCACAGCGGACATATGCGACTCCCCAGTGGGAGTATCCAGATGCCGCCATGCAGTCCCACCACAGTCAGCTTCATATGACCAGAGGCGGTAAGCATGCCAAAGGGTTGAGGGTTTCAGAAAAAGATGAAGTGAGGTTTTTGTTGCTTCTACAGCCTGGGGTTAGGGCTTCAGAAAAAACAAGATACGATGTTTATAGGGCCTGTACTTATAGGGGTTCAGGGTTGTGGAGTTTGAGGTTTTTACGATTCCGGGGCTTCGGGTGTGAGGTTGGCGACCCGGTACATGCACAAACACAAGGATCCTTGTTGTAAACGGCCGCTTGAATAAGGCCCAATTGGGGCTTCGGTGGCATCATACAGAGGTCGATTGTACTTCAATACTCGCAGTGGTCAAATACGTCCAAAAGCGCTTCGAAGCCAACGGTTTCTTGCATTGACTCGGCCTTGGACAAAGCGAATAGTCGCGAGCGTCCTAACTGGCGTATCTAGTAGATAATCCTTGGTGTTACTTAGTCCCCCGACCGCCCAGACATGATGCTGCCCAAAGCAGTCCGTAGTCTTTGTTTCTTTCAAGACCACCTGCTGCCCAACGCTTCCTCACAACTTAAATCGGCACGCAGCAACAGTCTCCCTTAGCCACGCCCTAAAGCCTAAAACCTCAAATCCCACACCCTTCAGGGACCTAAACTGCCGGGAGTCATCCGAGCGAGACATCGCTGACAGGCGTACCTGCAGGACGGAGTGGAGTGAGGGCCCCTCTCAACCACAACAGTGATCGCATGAGTAGTACCACTGCACGCCATGGCTTTCATGTCAAGCAAATCACTGTTTGCGATAGCGAGAAAGCGTGAAGATTGCCATGATGGTGGCAATGGTTGTTGAGATTTCCCGGCAGCGGCAAAATGTGACAGTAGCCGCAGCAAAGATCACGACGGATATGTAAAAAGGCACCTAAAATCCACCGACATCACTTGCCAACACTCCAAGTGTGAATAGCCAGCTCATTTCCTGGAGCGCTGGGCTGAGTTTAGGATTTCAGGCAGATATCACATCACAAGACATCAAAATGCCGAAAACGCCGGGCGCGCCAGCCCAGCAGAAGGAAAAGATAGAAGGCTGATACCGAGATGGAGGCGATGGCCTCGACGGGCTGAGGAATCGGAAGCAATAATTATTATCGTCATTCCACCCCGCCGGCTGAGCTGACCGGGTCACACTGCAGGGAAAACTACAGAATGTTCAGGGTTTAAGCTTCAGGGTTTAGGCGTTTAGGGTGCAGGTGGCACTGCCAACGCGTGGAAGCATGAACGACTCTGCCAAAAGCAGCTTGTAAGAAAAGCAAGGCACTAGGCGTTGGGCTCCATGGACATAACATTCAGGAACGACAGTGGCCAGTGGACGAGCTGTCCGTTTGTTTTAATAACGAGTGAAGTCTAAGGCCTCACCACTGCAGATATGCCAGGTGACCTCCGCGAGTTCGCCTACATCGTTTTAACTTTCCAGTAACCTGACCTGTCTTGTGAACTGAGCTGAAGGCGACCAAGCAGAATGGCACTTGCCCATACGATCTCGAATGAGTCTTCAGCACGGTGAAGTGGTTCACTATGGGGCAGTGTTCCTGCCTCAAGCTAGTCGAGACTTGGCCTTTAGTTGAGCATCCCGGGTGTCAGAAATGTCAACCGAATATCCCTGTGCTTGCACATCCTGGTAAGCAGTCAGAACCTCGAACGGCCACATTTGTACTGATGCCCGCCAATACCTAGCATCATGAAGCTCTATCACCATGTACAAACATCATCAACAGCAACATTACCATCATCACCAGCATCAGCTGCAGCCTGGTCTACGTCGCCTGCAACGTCATGAGCTACATGCGCCCATGGAATCGCCATCGCGATCTGTCTCGCAATCATTAGCAGCATCATCACGAACCTCATCACCAAGATCATCACCCGCATCACCGTCCGCGCCCCTCACCCGCAGGGCCGGCATGAAACACCTGCTTCTGTTGACGCTCCGGCTCTTGCTGCTGTCGCGAACGATGAAGATGCTTTCTGGGTGTTAGCGCTGCTGCCGTTGGTGATAGTGTTGCTGACGCTGCTGTTCCTGTCACAACTTGCAGCCTGGGAGCTTCTCAACTGCTTCCGTGCGGCCGTACCGCTGATCATGTTTGCTGTTGTTGCGGTCAAGGTCTACAAGAGTGTGTCTCTCTCTCCCTCTTTCTTTCTTTCTTTCTTTCTCTCTCTCTCTCTCTCTCCCCATCTCAAGGGTCTACAGCTAAGTTCGCGAAGGCAGAGAAGCCAGTTCTTCAATCCCGTCTTTCCGACTTTGATGCCAGCGCATCGCGGCAGTGCAACCGGTCTCAAGTTAGGGTCTCAAGCAGTAGTAGCAGAGCTTTGCAAACCTCCCTTCCCAAGCATCTCAATGAACAATGAAGCCAAGCTTCTATGGCTACGAAGAGGCACTCCTGCAGACCCAGCGTGGGCAGCTCGGCTGTCCAAAACAAGGCCATGGGCGAGATGTAGCTGAAGAAGAGCACGCCTGGCAAAATTGCTCTCTGTCTGTTCGGTGGGACCTTTGTAGGTCGACGCCTGACTAGCAGCAGCATAACTGGGTAGTGTAGTACCCCGTGGTTGCCGCACGACAGTATCTGGCATAGTCCTTTGCAGCAGGGCAGAAAGCAATGACAGTCTTGATGTGGATGGTGTTGCATGGAACAGTACAAGTTGTGCGTGCAAAGATATACGAGATGCGTAACCTGAGGCGGCGTAACACGGAGTGGCATGGCAGCAGATCCGCAATTGATGTAGCACACCAGCTTTCAAGCAATGTTCTAACTGCTACTACTCGGGTCTGAGTTGCAGTTTACGGAAAACTTGCTGCATTTACTGAGCCAACGAGTTGTGCCAAGCGGCCGTGCCAAAGAAGGAGCCTTGGCATGTCCGAGCTTTTTGTCTGTGTTTAAAGGCTTAGGATTTCGCGAATATGCAGTGGCTGGTACAAGTTGAGGGCGGGGCTGTACTGCTAGGGTTTAGTTCGGCTTTACGAAACTTGCCATTTCTTTCAGTTCCGGTTGTGGCTTCCTGCACATATTGCTTTTTGACACGCACGCTCGGACGACACCAGGCAAGGTCTGCAGACAAACTAGGCTGTAGGGTTTGGGCATGTTTGGGCTAGATGTTTATGCCCTTGAGCAGCGACAAACAACAGCCAAAATCATGCTTGTGATGGCGCGGACGATCCTGGCGTTGTGGGCACCGCGACTATGGCTAGCCGCTATAAGTCACATGTTGGTATGGTCCTCCCACAAGCCCACGGCCCATGCACTCTTCAGTGCTGCTTGCATGCTGGGCGGCAAGAGAGCCAAGCGTGGGATGCTAGATGGTGTGCTTTGGCTGCGCAGCTTCGGCTGCCTGGGCATACCGAACAAATGTGCCACAGAACTTCACCCTTGGTATCTGAGCTTCATGCCGGGGGCTTGACGGATGATGCATACAGACCGGTTTTAGGGCATATGTAGAGCTTTAATGGAAAGCACAGACATTTCTGGGTTTCCGGTTTGGACTGTCTCTTGTTTCGAATCCTCCTGCTGGAACGAGCCAGGCAACTGCGAAACAAGAGTTCCTTTGCAGTGGCATATCGTGTTTAAGTGAATTTTGGGGTCAGGTTGGCTTGGCTTGAGATGGAGTCGATTATGCAAAAACTGGAAGTCGAAAATGACTAAACCCGTATGACGCAATTGCCGAAAACCATTCAAAGCCTGCACCTCAACACGTATTCGTCTATGAATGGACCTTGGCGGCTTGAGTTGGTTTCTTGGAACCGCTGATCACAACTATGGGCGACGCAGGGAATCGCAAGGGACGGCCCGCAGGTTGCTCAGGATACCTATGGATGGGTTGGAAATGGTGCACATAGCCCATCGGGAGGGCAGGACGAAGGGCATGAAAAGGCGATGATGGAGATTGTGATAGATAGCCATGCTGAAGCTGCTGATGCCAGTCTGACACGGCCTAGCCTTGCTTGGTCGTGCCAAGCACAGCAACAGAAGGGGCCACATCGCAAAAGCCAGGCGGCCGCTTTGGACATGTCAAAACGCAAGCCCGGTCAACCAACAAAAAGCTTTGTAAATGTCCGCGGGGGATTCTCGTACGCTTAATCTCACCCGCTACTGTCTGAACTTCAAGAACTTCTGCAACACTTTATATAAACACCACTGGCTTCTGGGTTTCTGAAACTTGCATCTCCCGACACCAAGATGCTGCGCAGCTTGTGCGGCTTCCTTTCCCGATGCAGGGAGCGCACGGGTGTACAGTACTTGCACGTGACCAAGCTTCAGCCTTTAACAGACCCTAGTGGAAGAAAGCATCAATGCTTGCATGGAAGTGATTGTTGGTGCAATATCAGCCAACATCTACCCGGCAGTGAAGGAAGCATTGACTATGTAAGTACGCTTTCGACGGCATGAGGGGCAGACCTGTCAATCCGACACCCGCATGCAAGCATAATTGCCAAGCTCATGCCAGCCCTGGACTCGACTGCATTGCCTGCATTGCATCTCATACACGCATATATACATACACCCATCGCACACACACACACACACGCACGTTAAGCTATTAAGAATTTCCCCAGGTCTGCATGCTGAGGCCGTCTACATGGCGTGGTGCGCATCCCAAGACTCAAACTTCCGCCCCTCGAGTCGATGCTCTGCCAAAGTCTTTCAAACCCTATGCCCGCTAGTACCGCTAGTACAAGCTACTACAAGCCTCTTCATGTCCTTAAGCCATTGCTCACCACGTCGAACGGACGCAATGCGATGGCCTGCGCCAAGTACGCGAGCACGGCGAAACCTGCAGCGACCTTCCACTCCAGCAGCAGCAAAACAGCACGCTGAGAGCGGCAACGTTGCCATGCCGGAAGAATCTAGCTCGCGGAATCAGATAGCGGAGTGTGCACGATTTCCGAGCACCCCTGCCACGTATGCACCCGAAAGTTCGGCTGAGCCTGTCGATCGGCTGCAGAAAGCTTCTCTCGAGTTGCCTTGGCTGGGCTTAGTAACCCAGAGCAGTACTGTAGTCCCCATACACTCCCTCTGCAGACGGATCAAGAAACACCACCCGGGTAAACCAAAGCCTCAGTCGTCATGCAGTTGAGCCAGAAGCACCGCTATCAAGTTCCCGTTTGAACGGTTCAGGGCCGCGCAACCAAGCATTAAACCCAATGTTATGGAATAGGGCCTTGGGGTACTCATAATCATTCTGTTGTGTCATCACGGTAAGACGGTAAGATGTCATAATAATTATCTGCATCACGCACAGGCCCTTCTGCAAAGAAATGGCAGAAATCTCTGACCGGTGATATAGGCCAGTACGAGTATCTGTGGCAAATTAGAGGTTCTTCTCGTAGTGCAACCCATGTCAGAAGAGACATCCCATGGCAAGCACAAAATCTCGCAGAAGCCGACTCGGCATTTTACGAAGATGTCTCTGCCAAGCTCATGCTTTCGGCCTTCTGGCACAGTATTTGGTCCAAGACTCAATGACTTTGCTCTGGAGCTTGGCCTGCGTAGAAATAGACGTTCCGAGCACTTGTACACAACACTGCCCGATGACTTGCCTGCTGACTGCCCGGTTGGTACGGATTCACGGCGTCTTCTCTATGGGGTCTTCTAACTCTTGGAAGCTTCTGCAGTGGATGAGGGGCACAACATATCGGGACCAGTCACATGTCGCACGATTATTGCATGTCTGAACTTCTGGCCACGTCAACGGCACACCTGTCATCGTCGGTTCTTGCCACATGTGCTCGCTTGTTGGTTCCGCTGCTTTCTCCGTAGGAATAGACCACGCAGACGCTGCTGGCCGCGCTGGATTCGGCTTGTTGAAAGCATTGTGGGTAATTTCTTCCGTATCTCTCCTCTCCGTCGCTCCCTCTCTCTGTCTCTCTCTCTCTCTCTGTGTTTCTCGCCCTCTCTATCTCTTTCACTTTCTCTGTCTCTCTCTCTCTCTCTCTCTCTCTCCCTCTCTCTGTACCCTCTTCTGTGTCTATCTCTCGCTCTTTGTCTTACTCTCAGTCTCTCTCTGTTGTGCTGTGTGCGTCCATCCACCCTTCCATTGTCCAAGAAGCATTGATGCCGATCGCCCCGATGGCGATGTGAGTCGGATCCGGAGGAGGAGGCTCGAGATTCCGAAAGCCCCATCGTGAACCTTGGCTTGAAGAGCTACGATGTGGAAGCTTGCATGGGTTTAGGCATCAGGAAGCGTGAAGACCGGCTGTCCACCCAAAAGAAGTGCAAGCAACAAGTGTTGTTGCGGCAATGATTAAAATGACAAGGACACTAACATTAAGCATTACATTTGGAACATTGAGTTTTGACTTAGAAACAGAAGTATGATTGGAATTAGCGTGCACATTCACGACGACAACTACCACCACCACGACAACGAAAACAAGAACAATTGCAAGACCGATAACCACAATTGCTACGGTGACAACCACAGCGACAACAACAACACAATCAACACAAATAAAACGAACAACACCAACAACACCACCATCGCCACTACCACCAACAACAACAGCAACAGCAGCAGCAGCAGCAGCAGCAGCAGCAGCAGCAGGCAGCAGGCAGCAGGCAGCAGCAGGCAGCAGCAGGAGCAGGAACAGGAAAAACGGGAGCAGGAGCAGCAGCCACGCCGAGACCAACACCACCGCCGCCAACACTAACACTACCACTAAATACCACAACAACAACAACAAAAACAAAACAGCCACTGCCACAGCCACAGCCACAGCAGCAACAACAACAACAACCAACAACAGCAACAGCAAGAACAACAACAACTACTACTACTACTACTACTACTACTACAACTGCAACTGCAACTACAACAACAACTACTACTACTACTACTACTACTGCTGCCACTACTACCACTACTACTACTACTACTACTACCACCACCACTACCTACTACGACTACTACGACTACTACGACTACTACTGCTACTACTACTACTACTACTACTACCACCACTACCTACTACGACTACTACGA